TTGAAACGTCCATCTAGTAAATAAAGACAATCATCAAAAGTTTCTACAATAATTTTCAATGTAGTCAATATTGAAGAGTTAAAATTGCTTGATGATAAGGCAAAAGTACAAAGTGTTGCTCGATCATCAGATTGACAAAAACTTAACTTGATTAATCGTTTACATAAAGATAAAATTAAAGTAAACATAATGGAAAGAGTTTCAGGAGATGGTTGTTTTGGTTCATCCTTAATATCAATTGTAAGACATGTAATTTGTTCAAAAAGAAGTTTTCGAAGAATTGTATTACCTTCAATTGACAAAAAAAAAAAAAATAAATAGTTATGAAGTGATCTCGAACAATTTTCTTATTATATTGAAAATTAAATTAGTTTACTTGTTAAATGATTGAAAAGTACTTCTTCTGAAAAATCCATAAGTGCTAATGAGTAAAGTTGAGGATAATTAATAGTTTGAAGAACACGTTCCATTGAATATTGTTCAACAATGAGTTCAGTTATTTGATGATAAATTCGAGGTAAAATATTTTGACAAATTCTCTCAAGAACTTGATTGTCTATTGAATAGACACGATCATAAAATGATTTCATTGTCATAGAGGTCATATTAAGATTATGAATATAAAATGGATTAAATATTAATTGATTAAAACGTTCAGTAATATCGACAAGTGAATAGAGAACATCGACTTTGTTCAGTTTGTTAAAAACAATGAATAAAATTTCATTGGGTAAATGGAGTATATTGAGGTGATTGTTATTCGATATATTCATGTCTAATTCATTTATTTCAATAGGTGTGTTTATATATATGTTGTGGTCAAAATTAAAATTCAGTCAAATTTGAAATTTGCCCAGTCAAAATTCAAATTTCAATTCTGCCTAGGCAATATTGAAATTAGAAGTTTATCCAATGAATTGTTAGTCAGAATTGAAATTTGAATTTTGACTGGACAAAATTAAAATCGTTCTTTTATCAATAGAAGCAGGTAACAAAGGATACTGAATTAAGTGTAATAATTTTTTTCTTCGACAATATTTTCGACAAATGTAAAATAAATCCTAATTTTATTTAGTTTATAAGAACAATTACCTCTTTTTTTGAAGACGTTTGGTCGAACAAAAAGCGTTTGGGTGACAATGCACGTGATGGTTCTTGTGTTAGCCTCTTCTTCACATCCTCATCCTTACCTCATTAGAGTCCATCAAGTCCAAGATATTTTGGTCCTAAATTTAGTTTATTAAAGTTTCCTGGGACTCGAACTCAAACCCGATTGGTTTAAGTTTTCTAGGAAGTTCCATTCATGGTCATAAGGTCTTCAAACATTCTTCTATGATTACGCAAAAAATGAGCTCTTCAAACTGCACTGAAGTGAAGATACTCAGTTTTCCAAAGCGACCTTGACTTTTGAAATACTCTGTAGTATAGTTTATCGGATCCAAGAATTCCTGGATCGAGACTCGAACTCGAGTCCGATAAACTTGAAAATTTTTCAGACCTAGACTCTATTCGAGCTCGAGCTAGTATAGATCCGAATCCGGATGAATCCGATGAGCTCTGACTCTCACTCACGCTCTCATCCCACACACCATATTCATCTTCTTCTATTGATAAAAGAACGATTTTAATTTTGCCCAGTCAAAATTCAAATTTCAATTCTGACTAATAATTCGTTGGACAAACTTCTAATTTGAATTTAGCCTAGGCAGAATTGAAATTTTAATTTTGACTAGGTAAAGTTCAAATTTGACTGAATTTTAATTTTGACCACAACATATACATATATGTTTCCTCGTTGGCGTCAGAGAGAATAATGAAGAATAAATATTCATCTTATAACAATAGGCTATCGTTGATAAACGATGACATTTTTCTTTCTGTCGAACATGCTCTTTTATTCATTGAGAAATCGTTCGTCAGGTTACTTCAGAGCAGAGTTGCCAGATCTTCCGATTTTTGAAAATTTTCCGACGACTTTACGACATTCCGATTTTTTCCGATTTTAGAACATTTTTCCGATCACCTACCAATTTTCTAATTTTTCTCCGGTTTTTGGATTTTTTTTCTAAATTCAACTTCTTAGAATATTCTAGAATCCTTTAACGATGACTCGCTACTGCATATATATTGTGATCTATTTCAATGTAATTATTCGGTGCTGCAGCGTCATGAACTCAACAAAGCACACTTTAGTGCTCTGAAAGCTGATCCTCAAAAAAATTAGGATATTTTACAGACAACAAAGATTTAGTTTTCTGTCGCGATAAACTAATTTTATCTATTCGTTTACTATACCAATAATTAATAATATTTTCCTTTTTGAG